TTCCACGGGGAGTTACTTAAATTTATCTGATAAACTAAATTTATGAAAATTTAAAAAGAAAGGCGGGCATATTCCTTATGATGAAAATATTGCTTCCGTTTGTTATAATTTTTTATTATTATTTGATTTATTATTATTTATTGTTATTATTTCAACTGATAACATTTATTTTATACTTACTAATGTTACTGGTTATTCTGTTACTACATATTATTCATAAATTGTGAGTATTATTATCGGGGTGGGTATTTTCGGGTTGTAGTATCTTATTGAGCTCATCGCTCACTGGCATTCCCGTTGCCCTGGCATTTTATGCTAGGTACCGAAGAAATCGAAGGAAACACTGGGGCCTTGCAAGGCGACACTCAACCTTGGTTAGCTTGAAGAGTGTCAAGTTTCATGAACTATTTTCTAAAATTTCTAATTTTTCTCTAGTTTTCTTTTTATATTTGTATCATTTCTTTTATGTACTAAGACTAAGTTGTGATGTAAGAACTTTAAATTCTGGGTTGTTAATTAATGGATGTTAGTAATATTGGTGGTAATATTGATTTTAAATTCTAAATCTTATTATGATGTCCTTAAATTTTGTGGTGTCACACTCAGGATTGATGTGCTTGGTCAGATTACTCCAATGATCAAGGCTAATAGTTTGAGTATAAGCAAAGAGGCTTTGAAAGTAATCATTTGCTAAACTTTTTAACTGCATGGGGTTATGCACCCAAACCCCTTCCTCATTTTTCAAAACTCCAATTTTTGTTTTCCTTCTCTTAATAATGGTAGACATATGAAAAAAATTTGTATTCCGCTCACCTTGAGTAATCCAGTTAACACGGGATTTTTGAAATCAAAATAACTCTTCTTGATATAAAACTCGTTGTGTGTTACCTCCTCCAAGGTGATGTTTGTGAGCTTTTATAAGTTTCCCGTGGCACAATCCTAGTAGGACTTGTACTTCTCCATGCAGAGTCCTCCTAGGATTCATACTCCTAAGGATAATGCTTATCCTTTTACACCCTCCCCCACTGCTTAAACCAAGTGGGATGGTTTTCACTATGGCTGAACTACCACTTGACCGAAGTAAAATTGGCTATGCTGAGCCACAGAATAGGCCGAGCTATCCTTGGCTCGGCTCTCCCTCTACTCCTCCTTACCTCGGTTTTCACATGTACAACCCATGGTACGGTTTTAGACCGAACCAATGACTTTCGGCCGGAATGACTCCAAGACCGGCGTAGCTCTAGGTCGTTCCTGGACCGAAGTATTTTTTTACAGTCACTGTGCCGAAGTAACTTTATCTACCTCAGGCCGGAGTAGCCTTGCCTCTCCTGGGCCGGAGTAGCCTTGCCTCTCCTGGGCCGGAGTAACATTGCGGCCTTCCTTGGGCCGGAGTAATGTTACGGCCTTTTTCACCAAGTTTTTGGCACTTTGGGCCTCAAAGCCCATCTCATAGCTCGGCCCAATTTTTACCAAAAATTACCCTCTCAATTGCCCCTTAATTCCATCTGCACAGCATGAATGGGATTATCAGTCCAACCGAGCTGAAGTTATTAAGCCTTTCCAGCCGAGCTAAAAACCCTTTAGCCTCTCTAGCCGAGCTAAATTTACTTCGGGCTTCACTTTGTCCGGTCAAAACGTCTCTTCAATCACGACGCTTCCCTTTCCGTATACACGTGGCATGCTCCCATTCGTAGAAGGCAGCTGTCAACGCCGTCTTCGTGTTTCGTAATTTTTGAACAGTTCCCATCCTCTCTTTCTTTCCACAAAACATTCATTCTGCCTTTGAACCATTCACCTTCACTATTCTTAGTCTTCTCTTCTTGGCCATTTCCTCTTCAGCGGTTAGAGGAATTAGTCTTATTTGTGGCAAGTTTGGGTCCGGCTCTGGAGCGTCTTCGAGAAGAAAGTCAGTTACTCTTGCTTTTCGGCGACCGCTATACCGGCAGGTCAGCTCAAAGTGTAGAAGCTTAGCCCAACTCCTTTCTTTAAACCGTAGTGCGGCTCGCAAAATCACAAGGTTGGGATAGTTGTATAAAGAGCGGAGGTGGGCGAAATCTACAAAAGAAGAACTGTTAGTTCGGTTGATAGACTAAAAACCAAAATAAAAATACAAGGATGAAGACCGAAGTCAAATTACCGGGCTCTCCCTTTTTCCAATTTATAGGTCGGCCAGGAATTTGGGCTTGAAAATCCTCAAAGTTCCCAGAGACCCAGAAAAAATCATCGTCATTAAGGTCTTTGTCCGGTGTGTATTTAACTATCTTCTCTCGGCGGCGGCGAATCCTAAGGTAATAGACCCACCCATCATCTTTTGAGCCGATGGAGTATTGATGGAAAATTTCGGCCAGGCCAAGGTTTAGTCCAGTTTGATGGTTCAGTGCGGCTATTCCCCTAATAATACGGTATGTATTGGTGGACAGTTGGGTAGGGCATAATCTAGTCTGCCTAAGAAATTCACAGATCAATGGTTGGACAGGAAACCGTAGTCCGGTTTCTATTATGGATTGAAGGGTAAAAGGGACGAAGCCTTCTTTTTTCCAGGGAATAACATCTTTTTCGGCCAACATCAGATGGACGTCATCAGGAATTTGGTAGTCTTTCCTAAATTCGGCCATACCACCAGGGGTCTCAACTAGATACCTATACTTACCCATCTGATGTATAATTTACTTATAATTTATATCGGTGCAAAAATCGTGCTCAGCTCGGTTAAGCACAAGAAGGAAGGCCTGGGCAACCTAAGTCTGCAAAGTAGAAAACAAAGGGGTTAAGCACAGATCATAGGATCGTGCTACAAATTAAAAGCAAGGTATAAGAGCCCTACTTCGGCCTCTTAAACTTATTCTACCTCGGTTCGTCGAAAGGTTTGGTGACCTCGGCTTGAGCGGGTTGCTTAGTAGACCGGTTCACCGTCTAGGGGCAGCTTTCTTAGTTCGGTCTAAAAAACTAAGAGAGGTAGCTTAGCCCCAAGGCCTAAATCGGTTAAACTATGTGTTTTGTTACTTCGGTTGAGCCTCTAGGGGCAGCTTTCTGAGTTCGGTTTTAGAAACCAAGAAAGCTGGCTTAGCCCCCAAAAGCTTTATTCACAGTTTTCGCATATTCGAGATATAGGGAAAAGAAACCAACTCTGTTGATCATCCTTTGTTTCAACCTCATTTTTTCACATTATGGGCAGTTTAGGCATTTAAAAGGCATCGCATGGTTTCAAAAGTGTTACCACCAAATGTTGTTAATAGTATAAAGATTATAATTTATTTTGGAAATTTTTTTTTTTTTTAAGTCTTTGTTTGTTACAATACCAGAGTGAAATTATTCTGAGGCAATTGCAGATCAGGGTAGCCGGTTAAAAGTAATTACAAAAACATTGGAGGTGTCATTTGCAATTGTCGACAAACTACCTTCAATTATCTTTTTCACTGATCACTTTTTTCACTTATTTTTAAAATAAAATTTAAAACACTTGTATATTAAACATGGTCTTTATTTTTCTTTTTACCAAAAATAAATATAAATATGTTTAATGTTTTATATGAAAAAAGATGTATGTGTTACCAAATGATATTAGGGGTATTTATTTAACGAATTGGATAAGGAGGGATTACAATGCAATGAATTATCAGTCTTTGGATTATTTAGCCCAAAATAATATGTATTTGATTATTAGTTTGATTTTTATTTTTCTAACAAAACAATGGGACAAATGCCTTTGTTGCCCTAATGTTTTTATTTATTTATTTGCTTAATTTTACTTTTATGCCCTAAGCTATTATTTTATTTTTTTTCCATTGTTTTAAACTATCAATTTCAACTCTTTACTTTCCATAACTTATGATTTCAGTTTATATTTTAATTGTAAACAATCTCTCAAATCAATAACGGTTAAATGTCTAATCTAAGAGCATCTTTATCAAAGTAGCTAAACGTTTAGTCAAATTGTAACTAAAAACTTACTTTTCTATTTTAGCTAAACGTTTATTTTTCTTGTCATGCTCCAACAAACTCTCTATTTAAATATTCCTTATTTATTATTTGTTTAGAAAATTATATTTATCAAATGGACACTTAACGGTCATATTTTTAAAATAGAAACTTTTGTAACGGCCATATTTTTAAATGGATACTTTTGCAACGACCATATGTTTTAAATAGAAACTTCTATAATGGCCATATTTTCAAATAAATATTTTTGCAATAGATACTTTTCTAACGGTCATATTTTTTCAATATAAATAAGATCATTCCTCTTTAATTTTCATCCACCTCATTTAATTTTCTTTAACATTAAGTCTTTATTTTCTCACTATGCATTGCAATTCTGTATACAATATGATTCTTAATGAGTCTGACTCTGATAATGAGTTAGAGATAGTTACAATAGTCAAAATGGAGGAAGAATCAAGATGACGTCGTAGTTCTATACAACGTCGTGTGTTCATTAGGCATAATACTTTACAAGGCCACCAAAGGCTTTTTCTCGACTATTTTGTTGAATCACCAATATATCCTCCCAATGTATTTCGAAGAAGGTTTCGGATGAATCATTCTCTTTTTCTCCGTATCCATTCTACAACAAAAGCTCATGAACCGTATTTTGTTCAAAAAAGAAATGGTGCTCGAGTGCTTGGTTTGTCCTCCTATCAAAAGATGACTGCTGCACTTAGAATGCTCGCTTATGGAGTAGCAGCTGATTTTATGGATGAATATGTAAGGATTGGAGAATGCACCGTAATGAAAAGTTTTTAAAAAATTGTTAAAGCGGTAGTTACAATTTTTTCTAATGAGTATTTGAGATCACCAAACAAAAATGACATTGCTAGATTGCTAACAATTGGCCAAAGTCGTGGATTTCCTGGGATGTTCGGGAGCATTGATTGTATGCATTGAAAATAGAAGAATTGTCAAACTACGTGGAAAGGTATGTATTCTGGTCATATTCATGAACCTACAATTATTTTAGAAGCAGTAGCATCATATGATCTTTGGATATGGCATGCATTTTTTGGGTTACCGGGGTCTCATAATGGCATCAACGTGCTAGAACGATCTTCTGTATTTACCAAGCTTGCTGAAAGGTATACTCCTTCTGTCAATTACTCAATCAATGGTAATGATTATACAATGGGATACTATCTAGCAAATGGTATATACCCGCAATGGTCAACATTTGTCAAAACAATTTCATCTCCGCAAGGAAATAAGAGAAAGTATTTTGCTGCAGCTCAAGAGTCGGCAAGGAAAGATGTAGAACGTGCTTTTGGAGTTCTTTAAGCACGATTTGCAATTATACGTGGACCTGCACGTTCTTGGGAACATAAAACACTTAAGAACATTATGAAGGCATGCATAATACTGCATAATATGATTGTTGAGGATGAGCGAGATGTTAATGAAACAGAAGACTACGACTATGAACAAATCAATGAAAATCCCCATGTATCTATTTCACATGAGCATACAACTAAACTTATGGAATTCATTCGACGCCATCATTGCATTAGAGATAGAGAAACTGATTCTCACTTACAATCAGACCTCATCGAGCACTTGTGGCAACTACATAGTCAATCATAGCAACTTATAATTTTAAATATCGTGGTCACGTGATGAAAACTCATTAGTCTTCATTGTAATTTGAAATTTTCCAAACATTAATAACTACATAATTTTTCTCTCAAGATACTTTAGAATTTTTACAGAAGTTACATATAAAAGACACTATAAACTTCATTAGCACCCCCAGAGTTTGTGAGAAACCAACAAGAAGACAGACCAAACACCACAACAACAGATCACACCCGAGTCCATCACAGACCAAAATATCAGCCAACACATCAAACATAACAAAATAGGCCAACAGAACAGACTAGTAACATAGCTTATTAGACCAACATGCCACTACTAAGAATAGCATTCTAGCAGCAGCCAACTAGATTTGCAGCCTGAGTATATCTGAGCAGCTAAGAAGCAAAACACCCAAAAGAACAGCAGCCAACTCACCAACAACATAGCAAGATTTGCAGCCTGAGCATAGTTGAGCAGCCAAGAAGCAAGACACCAAAAAAACATAGGGCTGAGCAAGTAATCCGTGAAATCCGTAATCCGATCCAGTCCAGTCCAATCTGATAGGTTTGGATTAGTTTTTTGAATCCGCGGTTCGGTTCCGGATTGAAGAATTAAAAATCCGCTCATAATGGCATCAACGTGCTAGAACGATCTTCTGTATTTACCAAGCTTGCTGAAAGGTATACTCCTTCTGTCAATTACTCAATCAATGGTAATGATTATACAATGGGATACTATCTAGCAAATGGTATATACCCGCAATGGTCAACATTTGTCAAAACAATTCCATCTCCGCAAGGAAATAAGAGAAAGTATTTTGCTGCAGCTCAAGAGTCGGCAAGGAAAGATGTAGAACGTGCTTTCCACAATAGCAACATATTTTTCTATAATAGCGACATACTGTCCTAAACACTTTAACTCCAAAAACACTTTAAACACTTTAAATACGGATTGGATCAGTTTTCTTATGTTTTATAAAATTAAAGTGTTATATATATATATATATTTTTGTTATTTAATCATGTGAATCCGTGGTCCTAAACAGATCCAATCCGTATTTAAATGGATTGGTTCAGATTGGTTTCATGATTTAAACAGATTGGATTGGTTCCAATTTTTTAGGAACCGTAGATAACGGATTGGTCCTAGTTTTATCCCAATCTGGTCCAATCCGGACCATGCTCACCCCCAAAAAAACAGCAGCCAACTCACCAACAACATAGCATGCCAGCGACCATCACAGCAGCAACCCTGCTCAGCCCACCCTCAGCCATCTACACAGATTCCAGTGAACACTGCTCCCATATGAATAATTTAGCTAATTAAACAAACTGACTCCAACTTACAGTAACTCATCAGCCAACTCAAATTGACCACCCAGCAGCAGCCACATCCTGCATCAGCTCTGTAGCAATAGCAATATCAAACTAGCATTCACTTTGTTGCAAGAACAAAGTACTAGCCTCACCAAACCAGAATCAACTCAATATATAGCAGCATCAAACATCAGTAGCATACAGCTCAGTAAACTAATTATTGAGATTCACTCCCATAGAAGCAACAAGGCACATTCCATTCAAATGGCTAGCCTCGCCAAACATTGAAGGTAAATCATAGATCACAGGGCTGGACTCAACTCCCTTGCCTAAAATAATACTGAACCAAATAACTAGAGGAGCCACCACAGCTAAGCAAAGCAGACCAACAAAATAGAACCTGAACTATAGCAGTCCACTAGTGAGCAAAGTAGTCCAACAAAATATACCCTAAACCAGGGCTAGAGCAGCAATATAGAAAATTTGATAGTAGCCCCACACACCAAGGCCAACAGTAGAACAAATAGATAGCAGAGAAAGATGAAATAGAATCTGAAGTAGAGCAGCAGCAATCTTGCAATTAGTTCATGGAATGTCTGTTATTTACCTTGTTGCTCTCACTTTTTTGCTCTTTCATGTCAGTTTTATTTCTCTACATATTCGATATAAAATAATATAGAGCATTACAGAAGGAGTTACATATAAAAGACACTATAAACTTGTTTACTGTAAATTTTATATTTGTTTAATAAAGTGGAAATTTTATCCTTTTAAGAAATACAGGTCTGTTGATCAAATGGGATTACTGATTACCAATTTACACAGTGAATGTCAGTCAGTCCTGTGACTACCAAATTGAAGAATTCAAACAGGCCCAGTACCAACCATGGTATTGACTTGAACATTCTATTCAGGCGCTAAAATAGCATCACCATAAAAAGTCTCTCAAATGTACTACACTTCCAACTCAAACAGATTGGGGCCTCCATATGAATTCTTCCCTCATGGAAGCTTTACAACACTCATAAGAATTTCTAAAGAAGGCAACAAACATTCACATTCTAATTTATCTAGACTTCCTACACATTTGGAAGCCTTAATAGACCACAAAAGATGTCAAACTTCAACCAATGAACAAATAATCACCAAAAATAAACACAGGTACACCAAGATACTTATAATCCAGAATATAGATGCCCCTAAGCAATCATTTATTCATTTTCATAGCAATGTAAATCAATACTTAACAAAAAAAGTGCACTGAACCATGGCATTGTTCAACGAAACACATGATATGTTTGCATATAAAAATATATTCCAATAAAAACTAACTATTTAGTACTCCTTTGACTTTCAAGAATTTTCAATTGGCAGTAAATATAAAATTCTTGTTGCATTGGAGACAAACCATTTATATCCATCATTATAATTCTCTCATCTTCTTTCAATTGTTCTGCTCGAATCTTTTCTTGTTAATATGAAATCGCTCTTGGATTTCCTCTTTCATAATTCGAAGTCTCTCTTGCTCAAGAGCTTGAATACGATTCTGCTCTTGCTCTTGAAGACACGCTTTCTCAAGGATTTCCATGTTCTTGTCATTTGTTTTATTTTTCTCTTCCATCATCCCATTCAATATCCTTGCATAATTTGAACCAGCTGAATCTTTACTCTTTCGTTTATTCAACCGCTCTTAAGCCTTCCTGCCTAGTGGCCTCTCCAAGTCTACATAAGCATCATGTGAGACATCATCCTGTGCTAGATTTATCGCCTCTGGAGCAAAAGGAGAAGATGTTGCTAAAGTTTTTTTTTTTTTTTTTTTGGGTTTTTTCTTCTAACCATTTTGGTTGGCACCTCAACACATTCCAACAATGTTCAAATTGAAATGATGCTTTTTGGAATTCCTGATACATAAGTTTGGCCTTGCCAATCTAAAAAATTAAATGAATAAAGAATAATTAGCATCTTCAAACCAAAAGACAATTACATCTAATTTAGATATGTATACAATATATACCTTGTCTTGCTCATTTACTCCACTTTGATGCATTGATTTAATTTGAGCAAAAAACCCACAAAACTTATTGGTTCCAAGTTGAATAGTTGATCACCGATTCATTAAAGGATTCTGATTACGTTCAGAATTAAAAGTCTTGTAATCGTGGAAATACTCCCAAACTCTATTCCAATATGTCTTGTGTTTTTGCTCATTTTCGTGTACTGCATCCAAACTTGTATTGAGCCATGCCGATACAAGGAGATTGTCTTCTTCTATAGTGAAGTTGCCACCACGTTGTGATTTCTTTGTGGTGGATTCTATTTGGGATCACAATGGAGACTCTTGCGTAGCCACTTCACCATGTTGGCTTGAACATTGACCCATTTGATTTGGAGATTTCATCATAAATTCACCTAAAAGGTTGGATCCCCCTTGTAATAGATCGGTGAAGTACGCATCCGTTGGTGTTTGAGAACCCATCCTATGAAATGATCATTCCATTGCAATGGTGAATGATGATTCAATTTACAATGTATTCTCATTATTTTTTAATCAACCAAACATGAGAATGGACATTTTGATAAAATGATAAATATATCCATTTCATTCCAATGAACCAAACACTACCTAAGAACTTCTCAAATTCAAAAGTTACTGTGGCATATCATTAACTAGATAAGACTTAAAAAATAAAAAATAAAAGAAGAAGAAGAAGAAGAAGAAGAAAAAGAAGCCCCAATCTTACTTATCAAGGTTTCTCCTTGGACAATAACATTTAAAACTCATTACCCCATTTAAGACCAAACTGGAAACAATTCAGGTATGCAGATACCTTTGAAGAATAAATTTAAGAAAATTAATAGAGTACTTTGTTTCTACTTAATGACCTTAATGAAATATAAAAGTTGATAAGAAAAGTTATCGAGTCTAATATCAATAACTGTTCACCAACATAGACATGCTCTACCTTTGGTCATTGTTATTTTCAAAAACAATGCTTTACAATAAACTATCCAAAATCAATTTATAGTGCTGTGTAAAATCTACCCAAAGTAATATATATAAAGTTTGAATTCTAATCCTACACAACAGCAGATTCATTGCGGCAATTCAATCAACACCATGCAAGTAATTAAGAAAATTCATAACTCCTCTACATTCAAAACAATATTGCAAAAAGTTTGAAACTCGCATAGCAACATATTCATTATGGCAATTTAACAAGCACCATGCAAGCAATTAAGAAAAATTCATAACTCTTGAAACTCTACATTCAATATTCAGTATAAACCCTTCAAATGTATCATCACTCAACATTCAAATTCCAGTTCAAACTCTTGATCCAACAGTCAAATTATTGAAACATTGATTCAATATTAAGTTAAGAGATCAAA